TCAACAAACTTGGTTGCTAAGTTGAACTTGCAATCTATACGTTCAATATGCAGTTTGCATTCGGAATCGGTATATATGAAACTCTATAGTTATTAGAAACGCATATCAGAAAGTTACCTTTCATAGCTTTAATCCTCTTGTATTCTTCAAAGCGTTCCATAAAGTTAACTGTGTTATCGGCATTTAGTTCGAAGTTCCTGTGAAACCCTGCCAGAACTAATCTTCAAATTTCATCTTGGCTGCTAAATATACCATTGCTAATTTCCTATCAATATTTTATCACAGATGGTGTAGCGATGAAAGGTCGGCCGCTGGCTTTCTGACCTAGCAATGTGAGACCATCGGATCCCTTATTTGTATTTTGCTAGGCTGAATAAATTCACAATTAATGTATACCAGAAAAGGCAGAACCTCGATCTGAATTCTTTGCAGTAGACGCCTGCATTCATAAAAAGTTATTAAGTACATTATGCGAGGTCACTTCATAAAATATCAATGAGCGGACGATTTAAAACTAGTTAAAAACGTTCAAGCTCTATTTCTCTGCCCAAGTTAAGATTAACATATGGTTGCACTGAAATATATAGTGTGCGGACGTATAAATAAAATGAAATGTGATGAATTTGTCATGATATACCGAAAACAATTATGAAGAATTTAGGTAACGTGGACCTTAGTTCATTTTATCAACTGTACTAAATGAATGTTGTTCATTAAATATTTGATATGAGTGAGTGATCTATAATCCTTGGGAAATAAACAAGAGCTAACGTGAGGAAAAACCCATACAAAGACATGATAGAAGCTATCATATCCCTAGTGAGGTTGGACTTTAAAGTTATATATTATTAAGACTACGTAAGGTCATAAAAAATTCCTAATGCTCTCAACAACTTCCATAATGAAGTTCTTCCATTGAAATTGTGATAAGAAGGGTAGGGTATGCATCACTGCGGCTCCTGGATTGAACCGTCGAAACTGATGGATGCACATCATCAAATAATACACCTCTTTGATAGTGAACATGAGCGCTGCCTGAATTACTGAATATTTATTGAATTTAATTCACTAAATGCTCGCTGTGAATGTATTCATTTGCATGCGAGTGCTCATTGTGCATGTAGGAACGCTCGGCACGCGCACTTGCTGCCGTCACCACGTCGTTCACCGGGCCACAAGCTTTGTGTAATAACCGCAGTCGCATCATAAATGCAAACTTCTTTTGTTACGATGTTTATTCGTACTAAGTGAATCTGACAGACCAATTAGCCACTTGCTGAAAAGTACAACACACAAGAGCATCAATAACAAACTTTATTCGTTCATATACAAGCCATGCAATATGGACCTCAGGTATTGCCGTCTGTACAGTGTACACCCCTCGAAACAAAGCTGGTTGAATGAGCTGTAGCTCTCTCATGAATAAAATGTTATCATCAGTTCTACAAGCATATTGAATGAACCCTACTTCAACTTGAAGTTAATCTCATAATAATCTGTATCAGGAGAAAGCAGGATCATGAATAAAATGTTATCGTCAGTTCTACAAGCATATTGAATGAACCCTACTTTAACTTCAAGTTAATCTCATAATAATAAACATTATTAGTGACAACAAGGATGCGCTGCATTGAAACTTTCCGGTATCGCAGAGACACCCTGAGCTGGGTACACCACTTCTTCTTATCAGCCATAATGTGCACGTCATTCTATGGAACAGAGCTGCGCAGGAGTCGTAATTATCTAGGAAAGATAAGAGGGTAAGATCCCCCTTGTCTTGATGAAGGACTTGCCAGGACAAAGAAGCCCTGATATGAAGGTAACGTTGAATTGTCAGCACGCGAGGATGCTTTATCGCTCCATGATATCGGATAATTAAAACGACAATTCCAAGTACACATTCCCGGCAATTTCATTTGAATGTATCATTTCCTGTTCTCGAAATAAATGTTTTAAACATGAAATGCGTGCGCATATAATATGCATATGCTAGTTCATCAGCGGATCATATATGCTCTACAGTGAGGTACGAATTTACTCGAACGCCATTTGAATACAGAAAACCATTCCGTAAATCAAATTACCTATTTTATTTCATCAAATATGATAATGCGTTAGAGACGGTGACAATTCAGATTCACGTTGATTTCTTCAGACCGTAATTTGTTAGCTTAATTTTTTAACATAACTCTTATTTGAGTGTATATGATCGTCTCGCATAAGCACTAGACCCTCGAAACTGATTGACGCCGCCTTCGCATGGCGTGGTATATGAGCTGAGGAGCCAAGCCACGGGGAATGAGGGGGTCATGGTATATCCACGTATGACTCACAATGAAATCTGACTCGAAATGGCACTACGTTAAGAATATGAGATGAGCAAATTAAATCATCAAAGAAATATTGACGAACAACTCTCCAAAATTGGATCCATGCGCTCGCGACGGCGGCAACGTGCAGAACATCCACCACCCCCCCACCTAATCCTCGGCTCCGTTGATGCTCATGCCTCTCTCAAGAGTACGCAACTGTGTAGACCATTTGCCCCTTCGCATAATTTGTGTTCTTTAAAGAGTGTTCTTTAAACACATATGTCATTTAAACTTTCCACAAAAATATGAACGAGAAAACAGAAAAACTCAAGTTGATGTTCGTTTATTAGGTAGACTTATCCAGCCATTGGATGTAGTCATCCAAAAACCAATGTTCGACAACCACGGTTCATTAGGCCTCTGGCAAGGATGCCACCTCATAACAGTTCATCCATCAACGTTAAGTGAAACTCGAATCCGCAAAATGATGAGGTTAAAATCCTTTATACACAGAGGCCGATATTCGCGATATATTTAGGCCAAAATCCGCTATATAGTAGGGATGCGATCCATGATACACAGAAGCCAAAATCCGCAATATTCAGGATGATGTGGCCCGATCTACATTACGTATCAAATGAAGGAGTTGAAACGGGAAACACACTAGTAGTTAAAAGTTCTTTCCAATTTGAGCAGAGCTGTACACAGGCTTGCAACGTTGACTCTTATGTCAAATAGTATTGCCACACCGTTAACATAAACTTTAGTACGAGGGAATACCGCAAAGACTTGATTTTAATAGGAATTTCTTGACTGGCAGGGAAATTTTTCAACTGAAAAAATAATTTCATCTTGAGGGGTACTTTACTATACTCCAATCAATATTATATTAACTACACGATGAGTTTCATTCATCTTGATGGATTTTTTACTTTACTCCCATCAAAATTATATTAAATAAATGATAAGTTTCATGACTTTAATTGAATGAAAAATTTTGTGACTTGAAGAGAAGAAAAAATCCAATAAATTGGCTTCAATTAGAAGACTTAGGAGAAGATGCTCTAGCAGAAAACCAGAGCGAACAGCGTTTTTAGCGCGTTCAATGATCAGCGCCATGACACATAAAGGCCGCAGCTGAGCACCGCGCTCCTGCGAGGGGGCGGCGGTGAGCGCTTGGGCGGCCAGCGCAGGAGCGGCGCCGCCGGTCCAGGGCAGCACGCGGGGCCTGGACTGCGCTGGGCTAAATTATGTATAGACGCGCTCATATTTGGCGCCGGCAGATATAATTATTTTATTAAAAACATTTCTCTTTACATTCACTCATTGTTTGTTTGTCTGTCTGCTACATATCTTATAATCGATACTAAACACACTTCTACCTGTCCAATCGATCTGAAATTTTGCACACTTGCGTAAAGTCGGAGACAATGCATGAATCAATTGACAAAATATATAATTAAGAAAATTTTTAACTTAAAAAACTTGAAAAAATAAATGTCTGCTACAAATCTTATAATCTGATATTCAACACGCTCCTACCTGTCCAATCGATGTGAAATTTTCCACACTTACGTAAAGTCGGAGGCAATGCATGAATCAATTGACAGAATAAATAATTTGGAACAATTTAATTTTTTTATTCTAAAAATAAAATTTACAAATTATTTTGTAATATTTGATAATAAAATTAGAAATTCATTTTACATGTGTAACATCGGAGACACTGTTTTTATTTGGATTAGAACGACTTCCTTACTACAATGGATGGCTGAGAAAAATTATGCTTATATATCGTGATAGTTTATGGAGAAAAACGATGCTTGTGAAGTCTTAGGATTTTTATCACAATTAACTTCTAATATTGTTAGTAATTTCTTATTGTTCTGAGTGAAAAAATATTCAAACTTATGAAATGTAATAACATTTATCTTATATGCCAAAATATTTCGTTACTTCCATCAATTTACCTCATACCAAAGGACTACAATAAACTTGTCTGATACAGCAGCAACAAATGAATTCACAAAAATAATCGACAAGTAAGAATTAAAGGTCATCGCATTTGTATAGTCGCAGGAACGAAGTACGTTAAGTCTTATCTGAATTTCCCTTCCCTTCACCCATCGCCATAGAGACCTTCGCGAACACCAATTTAATGCGCACCATATTTAAATACCTACAGCTGATCTTCGGCGATCCTCACCCTTTGTATTTTAGAGTTCGATGTTCCAGTGTCCGTTTTTGTGGTGCTTTGTGAACAAGAGGGGTGGAATTTAGTCTTTCAAATGATGAGCTAAGAACTGCAGCTACCCTAAGCATGTACTATATAAGAGATGAGCTGAGAACCGTCTGAGGGTCAGTCGTACTTGCGACGTCGCAGCAGGCGGGCGTGCGTATCTCAGCTGCGTTACTGTCGCAGCACGTGTCTCGCGCTCAAACATTGGCTCTCCTTTGATTCTGTTTAGTATTTTTTATTCATTCAGTACAAGTGTTTGAACTTTACGCTTGTACCAATTAATTGTGCTGTATATGAGTCACGCCAAGTGACTCAAAAACTGGCATGCAATATAAGTGTTAACCCACACTAAAAATAATTTCTAGGAAACTGTTACTGTTCGTCAAACTGTAACAGTTATCAAAAACTAAAATCATTGGAATTTATTGAGACATAAATATTATTGCTAGAACTAATGTTGAGTTTACATTTCAGATTATTTCGACTCTACTAACACCGATTTTTGTTTCGCAACTAACCTACAAACGAGTTAACGCTTGAATTTTATTACCTTCCTTCTTATCCTTGAGTCGTCCTCAGCTCATCGCTAGACATGGCAATGTACATAAAATCAGGTGAGAAATCCAAAGACTTTCCATAGGGAAAAAAATATCATTCAACGATATTTGCAGGGTGACTGCAATTATGTCGTACATAGTTGTCGAAAAACTGAAAGAATTTGATAATAAAATATTAAAATTATAATCATGTTCCAAAATTATGAACTTTAAATAGAATTCATCTACTAACAAACTAAGAAATATTCGAAGATTCATAAAGTGCCCCCATGTCATTGCTTTTCACTGATGTTAGATTTACCTGAACCTGAATTTGTCATTACAGATGCTTTTAAAAGAGTTTATGATATATGTTCATGTAAAAAAGGATGTTTTAACCAATACATGTACGGGTATATATTATAACAATATGAGTTACATAAATATCCATCTTCTTTAATTACAAAATCTAGAAGATCATCGGCGTACAAGCTTGAGGTCGCGGGTGTGGCTCAGCGCGGGCGTATTGTCCATTTTTGGTCACATCTCAAATAAGGCTGAGCAGCTCAGAGCTTATCACCAATAGACTCATTACAGTGGAAACGAGTTTTTCACTAAATTTAACAGAGAAATCCTAAAAAAACACTAAAATTTTGATAAATGTTTACATAATAGTATTGTATAAAATTTGCCGAATTTAAACACTCAGTTGCAATGCTTCATAATTATTCAGCAAATATGAAGTACATTTCAAAATTTGATTATATCCAACTGTAATTTTAGACACTAGACGCATTCAATTGCGTCCATACGACTAAATTAGTTGACCTAATTGGACTTAACTGTTCAATATCATCATTAACAGGAAAAAAATACTAGAAAAATTTTTGCAAAATTTAGTCGCACTCGAGCACTTAGAAATATCACATTTGATCTAAGTAAACGTCGCACAATCGCATGCACAGCGACAGTGCTCGTGACCCTGTCTAACTTAGACGTCAACATACGCACCGCCCGAGCGTTGAAATCTACACGTAACAGTGAGGAGATTCCAGAGGCAAACATTTTGCGCGCGGTAATCGGTTATGCTCTTGCTTCCTGCGAGTGAAAACGAATGAAAGCGACAGTGCTTTCCTAGTGAGAACTATTTGCATGATGGGTAGTGAATGTGAATGATAGGGGCCTTCCAAAAGAAATTATTTCACGTGAACAACAAAATTCGCCCCATTATAAATAAATATTCAACCTTTACGTTTACGGGCTCGAAAATTAAATAATAGGATTTTAAGCAAAGGTTTCAAAGCAAAACCCCTTAGAATGCACGATTGACTCTAAAAATACTAGTTAAGTAAAATTAATTTCCTTTACCTGGTTGAATTTTTCATTTAATTGAACTGAATTCGCATCGTACGCTTAATCGGGCATTAAAAAAATAACATTTCAGCTCAGTCAAGTTCATGTAACTTAGATTTAACATCAAAGATATTTTCTGTACTAGAATACAGCACCATGAAAAAATCCGATTTTTATATATCGTTCATTCCATACGTAAAAGTGTGTAGTTAATGCAGATGCTAAATGTCTGGAGCGTTGCGCTTTCGAAATGTTTGAAACCATAGTTCATCCCACTGAAAAATATCCCTTCAATTATCTGAAGCACGGCGATGCTCTGGCACTTATCGCATAATTTCATTCCGAAATCTATAATTAAGATCTTTTGGACCAAGCCAGTGTGTCAGGTCTCGATCTTTGGATCAGCATTCAGGTGTGCATGACTTAATTTCTGTGCTGATCAATATTCTGGAATTTAATTTGCATCGATATTGCTTGTGAACGGGTCTTTGGAACAATCTATACGTGCTGGCCATCTGTCGATAACCAAATCCTTAGTGCTTTGAAAGTAAAAGTTGCGGACGCACGTACGCTGCACCAACGGATTCCCGCAGCGCAGTTTAAGGTTCAAAACTGCCCGATAATTTCAGATACCGGTAGGAATATCATTAAGATTAGGTTGAATTTCTGCTGCCGCTGCTTGGCGTGAAGAAATCATACTACCATTTTGTCTTAATTGGATGTCAATAACAGCGCAAATAGAGATATAATTTTAGATCGTGATCAGTCATGCGCCAATGTCATATACGGCAGCAAGGGCGTACGTAAGGTAAGGCAGTAAAGCACGTGAGTGTTTTGGCCAAGTTCTTCTCGTCGCAAGGACAGGGGAGTCGTAACTCTCGGCCCTGGGGTGAAAGGATCTCTAAAACTCGTAGAAAAACTACAAATTGCGGGCTGACGCCTCTGGGGTTATCGTCAGCCAGGTCGTTGGTCTTCGTTTTGATGCAAATTGACAGACAGCCAGATTTACAGACTGGCTGAAAGTCTGCGTGAGGTGGATAACAGAGGTTGAATGTGATAACACCTCGGACACATTTAAATAAACAGAGAACTCAGCATACGGGTGAAAGTCGAAGAGAGTCGTATTCGAAATTATACTTTCTGTTACTTAAATAATGGGACTAATATTTTTTCATAATTCCTTATTTAAACAAAGTAAGTTACTGATTTATAAATATGTTCTCAAAAGTAGATACAGGAAGTTAGGTTTATTTTACCCCTTCGCGTATAATCTGAGTAAACTATAAAAAATCAACACGTTCTTGTAACCGAAAGCTTTGCAAATCTACAGCGCGTATAACGAAGTGTTCAATTCATGTTTCTTTCACCGTTGAGTCATTGAAATTATCGTATATTACCGTAGCAATAGAAACATAGCCATAACTGTGGAAGTCAACCTTCAATTCAGAAATATAATTTGGTTAGTTTAAGTAGGCGTTATTAAACAAAACGAATTAGTTTTCAACTTGTGAATCGAAAGAAATAAGAATTAATTCCGTCACCTACCGGCACAATATGGCGTCACCGCTTTAATTAACTAGCAAATTTTTCAACTGAAATAACGCAGAATCAGACCATCACTATCCGAGGTACACTAACTCCCATCCTCAATTAAGTTCTTAAACCGGAAACCGCGCAAGAACCACACGGCAGTTCAGCAAACCACTCATGAAATTCATGTCTGGAAAGAGGCAGCAGTTGAGATTGATGGCTGATTCACTTGAATATTAAATCATATTCTCCAGTGCGGCGCTGGGTTTAGTTTAGTTAGAAGGCGGTTATAAAAAGTACCTACTCTTGTTAAGTGATCTACATCGGCATAAAATAATATGGAGATCTTGATAGAACAGAATTAAAAAATATATGTTTAAACTCCAATTCACGTTCGAGTTAATCGGTTCCTACAAAGATTTACACAGCACATTGATACAACCAAAGTTTTCCGAGTTCAAGCTCGTATGACGTAAATTTAACAAGAATTAGTTTTCAAAACCTTATTTGCCCTTTACTCACGTGAGGCCAAGCGTTCTTATGAGACTCTTTTTCACTCCGAGTTGGGTGCCACAGTCAGGAGTACGTATGAAAAGACAGCTTAGATTGAACACACACAAGAAAACAAGCATCACTTACTGTGATGGACGTCAAAGTGTCAGATTATGCAAATGTTTGGCCTGCTGCTGGAAGATGCGGCTTCTGCTTCACAAGCCTCAGTCACCGGCTGTTGCTTTATCGGTCGCGACGTTTAGTTAGGCTTGAAAATGAAAGTGTACACGACGGCTGCACTTGCGGTGTCGTTGTTTGCAAACTAAATACCTCATTGACTTCTTGAAAGCAGTGTCTCGTCGATACGTTAAACTGGAAAAAATTGAATACCTACTAATTTTATGAAAAAAATTCTCGATCCTCACGACTAATATAACATTTCCACATAGCGGCAATCAACCAAATGGAAAACAATGTAACTAAGTAATATTTCTTCCAAATGCTACTTATTTCGATTACCTCCAAGTAAATATTCCCTTGAAATGAATTCTTTATCGAGTTCATCCATAAAAAATAAAAATATTTTATCTGTCTTCGTGCAATCAATGGCATCGTAGTTTTCAATATGAATCGTTTCAATCAGTTTTGCTGATTGTTACAATATGTGACTAAGGCCTGTTGGCTTATAAAGCATCGTAGCTGTGCTCGATTCCATGTGTTCTTTGTAGGTCAGTAATGATGGAGTTGGTAGAAAAGAATATTTACGTAGATGATATCGTCTTCTACTTGTCGCATCAATTGTAGTACAGAATGAACGAAACCTCTCGATGTGCTTACGACTCAGGAGAGCTTTGACGTTGGACGTAAATTATGACTGATAATTGAAATAATTCACATTTCGTGTGACATAGAGCGATGCTTATGTTGGCTGAATAATCCTCGTGTTTATGAAATATATAATGCCACTCATACACACGATTCATTGACTCGGGGGATGAGTCATATAACGCAAAGCTTGAGCAATTTCAAGAGAAAAGTGGTCGTAAATTTATGTTATATTATTTTCCTAATCTGTCGATGCGTCAATTATAGTTGCACATCACATCAGTCAGTGACCCCGCCAATGTGTGTCAGAAGACGTCAAGTAGAATTATTGATGGCTAGCCATAAAACGACTGCCCATACTTGGCAGCTCTCAACGTCGCCAGGCAGGACGCGGAGTGAGAGGAACCGCGCCAGTAAGGAACTGTAGCGTCTGACGCAACTCTGCGCCGGCTTCCTTAACTAACGCGCAAACCACATCGTTAGACCTTCCCTCCTCCCAGGGTCTTGACGAACTGGTTACGTTCCCTGTCAGATATGAAGTTGTTGTTTCCATGACTTATTGGCCATATTAACCTGAGAATGCGAAGCCTTGGAGCGCAGACTTCAATTTATAAGGGTTTCTGTTCTCACATCGTGTTTTTAAATGGTATTTTTAAACTTAGCGAAACCGTTTCTAGCAGCACAAGCAGCCTGCATGGGTGCTTTTGGCGCATATATAACAGTCGACATGATCCACAAACCAAACTACACTTGTCATCCTAACGCACTAAGTGGAGGCGTGACAGCAATGTACCTGAGAGAACCTAACGCAATTTATTTCGGTTAATAAAAGCTGCTTGGCTGTCATTTCTGTACACAAAAGCTGAAATAATGACAGGATTTACCCTGCTCTGTCCGATCAGTTGCACGAGCGGCGTGTGCACTGCTGGTGATGGCAGTCCTCGTGAGCGGCGACTCGTCCCCCAACGAGTACGAGCTGCCGTCCAACTCCTCCGTTGTCAACTTCGGCCCCATTGTCACGGGCTTCAGGTCAGAATGATATATTATCTTACTTCAACTTGTTACATTAATAATATGCGTTTAAAAAGTATTTTTTTAAAGACCACACTTCTAAAGAGGTCGGTGTCTCCGATGTTACACATGTACATTAAATTTCTTATTCCATTTAAAAATATTTAATTTATATTTAATTGTATAAATTATGATTTATATTCTGTCAATAATATTGATTCATGCATTGTCTCCGACTTTATTCAAGTGTGCAAAGTTTCAGATCGATTGGACAGGTAGAAGTGTGTTGAATATCGATTATAAGTGAGTTGAATATCGATTATAAGATTTGTAGCAGACAAACAAACAACAAGAAGTGAAGTTGAAGGAAAGTATGGTAAAAAGTTTGATGTATCGTGCGTATTATTGCTTCCCATGCTAACATGTGAGTACGTTTAATATCCCGTCACCACAGTTGAAACCCTTTCACACTATCTAAATCATTTTTGAAATTGATTTTCCTTGTCAGTCACTTTTATTTCACAGTGTTGTATGAAATTGCAAATGCAAGTTACTTTCTGCTAGCCTAATTTGCTAAATCTCTCGGAATAATTGTCATTTCACGTTTATTTTTACCGTTTGTTCAAAATCGGTTGGCTTAAACCTCAAAATTAAAGGCGAAATCGAATTAATCTTCTTAACTTGATCTTCACTGGGAAACATTTTCGTCTCAGGGTTAGCAGTTTTTCTGCAACTAATAAGATTAATCTAAACTTCTTATTTTGGAAACTTTTGTTTTACCTACAGACATTATTTTGCCTCTATATTAATTCTCTAGATTGACTCCATACTGAAGTAAAAAATCCATGTTTTAAAATAGTCTTTCACACTCCAGCGAATAATTAGGCTTGATGGGACTTAATAGACCGCTGAAGACTGCGCTCAAGCAAGTCTCCTGTCACCGCCATATGGCTGTGTAGTTCCGGTCTCAAAACAGCTGATCTATATCTTAATATGCTATTACTGACAGATCATTTAATTAATTGAATGGGAAATTTATCATTGGATGACACAAACTGTAAATTCTCTCTGCACGACTGAGTTCAATTGTGCAGCATTCAACGTTCAATTGGCCTGGATGTGGGCTGTAACGAACAGATTGTGACGATGCAGGCTACGCAGGAGCAGATCTTAATAATTTATGATAGTCTAATTATTGTGGTGAACGTCTTATGGCTCTTCCTTTCACTTTTACGATGAAAATTCAAGAAATATTCTGATGCATATTTTCTCAGGAGAAGGTTTCTCTACCAAATGACATTTTCACTTGAAACGAGTTTCAGTTCATTGTCATTTTCTTGGAAACACTTTGAAATCTATTTTGGCCATAGACTGGCTTTAAAAAGCATCATTCTCTAACGTGAAATCATTTTTAAATTTTCATGAATTGTTTCATCGTTATATTTTCTATTTTTGCTAAGTTCAACCTATCTTCCATTTTGCATTCAGGCCATACTAACGCAGCTTGCAAAGGCACTTCTGTCAGTCTGTCAAATTGACGCATTTCATTGTACGGGGATCAGAATTGCTGCATGTCATAGTACTGGGACCCCAATCGGTATATTCATTTGTACGGTGATCCCAATTTTTACATTACATGGTACTGGGACTTCAATTCCCCCAAATGGTATTTTTCATTGCACGGGGATCCCAATTGGCGCATATTATCACTGTCGCCTGGCATGAGCGTTGATAATATCGTTGTCGCCTGGCATGAGCGTTGATAATATCGTTGTCGCCTGGCATGAGCGTTAATAATATGGTTGTCGCCTGGCATGAGCGTTGCGCATCAACACTGACGCCTGAAATTGCTTCCGCGTTGAGTTTTTTGCGCTGTGCCCTGCTTGCATGGCGTGTCTTTGTGCGTTGGAATAATACGAGTGCATATCATGTTTTTCGGGAACCCTGCTCATTTATTTAGGACTCTACTGGCACAATATGTTCGAATTCACGATACGAACTTGGAGATACTCATGAAATTTAACGAAAAATAACAAATGCTGTCTGTCATCGATTATTGATTTACAGATAGTAAATTATATGTATAAAAGAAGTCATATTTGAAAAGACGTCTATATAACTTGTAAAAAAATATTTTTCAAATCGATTAATATTGGTGGCTGATTAATATTTATTAATAATTGTATAGACATCGAAAAACTTGACCAATTAATTTTTTTTAAATATCACTTATTTTTTGACAAGAAGCAAATTGATCACGTTGAAACTGGTATTTCACGAAAATGGGTTGATCTCTTGAATGTAGTTCCAAAATTCGCCACTCGAGTTTTCTGCTCGCTTATTCACCTGAAATCCGAGCCAGAAAGATGCCAAACCCGTTGATCGAGTTACACTTTACCAGAACCCGTTGCCCGTATTCCTATTGATCAAAACTTTACCCGTTGAACATGTTTCCTCGTGCAGCTGCGACGGGCTGCAGTACGGGTACTACGCAGACGTCGCTAACGGGTGTCGCATTTTCCACGTTTGTTATCCGTACATGGACGCAGAGGGCTTCATCCGCACTAGGATGTGGTCCTTCATCTGCGGCCTCGGCACCGTCTTCAACCAGGCAAGTTCTCGCAAATTTAGAGTGAAATTTTCAATCAAATAATTGAAGCGTTATTTTTCAATCGTAGCTAATCGGGAACTGAATCATTGTAAAAAGGATGAATCATATATGCCAAAAACTTTTATACATTTCCAATAATATATTCCATGAAGTGAATTTAAGCATTATGACACGTTGTCAAAGTTTTCACTTAAGAAGACGTTTCAAAAAGGAAACACGAACAATTAAAACTGACGGTGAAGTGCTCCACGGCGGCTTCGTGCTATCACAAAGGCGACAGCCTCCTGGCAGTTGTTCAATAAGAGCCTCGCAGAAGCAGCGATGCGCCGATAAGCCTGGGCACTCAAGGCCGGTCCGGTTTTCATGTTCTGTTGACGAGGCGCGTTTACTCTCACTTTCCGAACATAATCTCATTCCATACAATATGACAGTTATGTTATGATTTATGACATTAATATTCTTCATAGTAAGGTAAATGTTATTATAAGCTTAGATGCATGCCACATTCATTTCAAAGTTATTTTTCGCTACATAATTTAACACTGAATCGAGCGGAGATGGTAGCGTAATGACTTGCGAAAAATGATAACATCACATTAACGTTGCCAATGAAATTATTTTTTTAGAAATTCCAGACGCTTGTTCATCCTCTATGAAAGGATTTAATTCTATTGAAAGCGGTTTCGAATTTATAACTGTATGCTATTTCGTTGTGATTAAAAACTTGTTATATTTTAGACAAACAATATAAACGGTAATAGAAGATATAATTTGACTTTAAAAAGGTTCTGAACTAGAAATAAGATGACAATTTGAAAATATTGAAGCAATTTATGAATACTGATGATTTATGTGGTCACTTATTGCTGCATGCATGTTTTTTCTGATCAAGTAAGTAACTGAATTGAATTAATACAGGGTATAACGATTTCAAATAACAATAGTTCTTCAGTTACCCCTCGGCGGAAAAGTTCAGCATAAAATTGTTCAGCCATATTTGCAATATCGGTCTGACAACGGCGCACAAAATATTCATTTCTCTATGACAATTAAGTTTGACCGAACACAACAGGCACGACAGAGCGATGTAATATGATTTTAAATCATGGCGAAGGATATTACCAAATCAACCCATTCATGTTCCTGGTTCATGGTCGATGCCCTGGAATTGTATGTAGTTTACTGACAATTGAACTCAATCTCCTGCCAAGGCATATAATAACTCAAATTGCAACACTTTGATCCCGGAGGCTAGAGATACCGTCAGTTAAGCGTTTTATAGCTCTCCTAAATTGCAGTCCTTTTGTGGACTTGGCTCTTGTGTTGCTGGAAGGGGCAACACAAACTATACCTTGAGGATTAAGTCCACACAGCCCTGTCATATTTCCTTACGATCCCTTCACAGAGCTGTTCCATGCTGAGTGTTATAGAGATTATCATGTGTTGGATACAGAGCTGGCAATTTGAGAATTAGTAGAAGCGAAGTTTGTTTCTATCTAACTTGGAATCCCCGAGGTGCGAGACGGCAGACTAGATGTCATCTGCTGACTTGTTTTACTACAGGAAAATCTCAAGCGTGTCGAATGTTTAGTCGTAAATCGCTCAGATGCTTATGGCAATGTATTCAAAGATATGAAATGAGAATACGGATGTGTCTACGCCCTGCAATTTGAGAATATATTGTCCATCAAAGCAAACATTGGACCATGTGGCCAACAAAGAAGTGGGCACGCATCCATACACCTCCAGGCCCCTGGCGAGCTCATCAGCAGCCATATTTGCGATGGAGTCTTGGTTCCGCCCTTGAGGTCACCGACAATTAATCCAGTTAATGAGTTCCATCGTATATCTTGATGAAGGATTAATTTCGAATAGTGATGTGCAAGACATTGCGAAGGAGTCAAAGTCAACAATTAACATTCTGACTTTGCATTATAAAAACTAACTTCTCTGCAGAAACAATCATTTAATATATACACGTATATTCATTCCGTTAAGGTACAGCACCTAGGTAGAAATCAGTGCGCCATACACTTGTCAGCCGTTTTTATGCTCTATGTCGATGGTATCTTTTACGTGAGACTCAATCCAGGCAACGAACGGCCTCCACCACATGATTTTTTTTACTACTTGGGCTATTCTGTCTACAAGACAACAGCGCAGAACTTCAGCGGCTAGTAAAATTGGAACTTAAGTTTGGTGGTCCTGCGGCAAGTTTCAGGTCTCTAACTTCTATAACATCATTGCTCATTTGTACTTATTAGGAATTTTCTTTATTTTCGGCATTAACCCTTCACAAGTATTTCACCAAAATTGAACAGTTGAGAGTACCCTGACTTCTTTATTAATTATGTATTTTTTTGGCCTTCGATCGTTCTGAAAAAATACACATCCTCCATAACTTTCGATTTTTCTGAAGCGAGTTGCATCTTGTGTGTTCCGATTGCATTCCAAAAGCCACTTCCTAATATCATAGCTTGACTGTGAAAGGAATATATTGCACAAAATCTTGTGTTAATCTTTTCGATCTATTTGCATTGGAAGTCAAATGAAATTCAAAGACGTACTCAAGGCTGACAACGCGACCATTGATCGGGACAAACACGGCTACGGAATTTTGATATCGCCTTCGGAGCTGCGTAAACTTCGACGCCAGCCGAACGGCCTCGTCCACAGCGCTAACTGGAATGCGGCCACGGCATTTCGGACATGAGTCCTTCGATATTTTCCTTTAAGCGAATATAGGAATCCGACACCTGTAGTATACGTCAATGCAGGAGGTCATAAAATCTTTCAAAAAGTTCAATGAAAGAGATCTCACAAGGCTTTCTGAGGTCGCGACCTTGATTGAGCAGCATTCCGGCACTAAAATTTATTCCGAAAGCAATACTGGTTGGATGCCCAATTTTAATTTTTATTGAGGTCAAATCCTTGACATAAAAAATGAAACTCGCCAAAGGAAGAAGAGTGGCGTGCACGCATCATAAATTCAATGTCAAGCTCAGTACTGAGGTGAGGTCAGAAAAAAAATTCATGATGGCTTGTGTACGGATGATATTTATGACCACAGTCGTCCTGCCAAGAATGAAATGTAGAATCAGTGCCGCAATCATCCCTAATTATTAATAAACTAGCAGTTTAGCCCGGCGTTGCACGGACTTAAGAATTTTTGCGATTTCTGAAGACTTATTCCAAAGCCTGTAATTCCCGAAATCCCCAATGCCGTTAATAATAATAAAGCATTCATTTTCTGGTTAAATATAAGCCCCTGCAAACCTAAATTTTTAATATAAGATATAGGACTCATATTTTATTATCGTTTCATAATATGAAAACAGTATTTTGAGTCTTTCAAATGTATATTGATATTTACCAATTTAAAATTTCAACTTTTGATCCGATCCTTTCTTGCCTTTTTACGAATAGGTACCTCCCCATTCTCCCGCTAAGAACGAAATTTTAAATTCAGTACCGTAAATATCCCGACACAATAAAAATCCTGGGTACGCGCATCAATATCAAAATAAAATTTTGCGGTGTCACGCTTCAAACACAGAAAAAAAACATTGAAAATTTCTAGCATCAGCCTACATTTTCTGCAATCCGTTCCTTAAAAGAAGAAATACGGAACAAAGTTGCCTATCTCTAAAGTGAGTCTAAACATTCCGTTCAGTGTTTACATAAAAAACCATATAGATGACGCGGCTACAGAACTCTGATGGGATCTTTTTCCTTGCAGCAAGCGCTGGTGTGCGACTTCCCTGAGAACACTACGCCCTGCGATCAAGCCCCCAACTTCTACAACGTCAACGAATATTTCGGCAGAGAAGACGTCAACTTCCTAGAATGACGGTCCCGACCGTAGCTTCCTAATTTGTGTGATTTAAAATTACGGTCCCGCCTGTAGCATCTTAATCTGTGTGATCTAGAATAACGGTCGCAACCGTCACATGCTAATCTGTGATCTAGAAAGACGATCGCGAACGTAGCATCCTAATGTGTGCGGTAACAATAATTGTAGCTTCTAAGTTCTACGTGTATGCCAAGCTTATTGGATTTGCTTTAACTTCAATTAGATGCAATAAACGATTCCATCCAGTACGAATTAACTAAGAAAGTAAATAATGATAATATCTATGGAATTGTGTTTTCATGCAAGAAACACAGGCCGCAGAAGGTGGAAAAAGCAAAGAAGCTTCGTTCGTGTCTGATTGTCCAAACATGGAGTTTTTTCCTGTTGAGTTCCTGGGCGTAACCTTTCTGCCGACAGAACAAATCTTGTTCACTAAATCGAAAATTGATGATAAACAAAAAGCATATGAAAATTCTGTGCGATTCTATCACTGGATCTTTGTGCATGTTTAACATCGTTACAATAAGATAAATTGACGTCTAGTAAAAATCAGGATTATATTGAGAAACATAAATGGAAAAATAAATATGTAACAAGGCACAACAGTCATTTAATATCCGTTCAAGCGAACTAAAGAACGTTTACTAACAAATGTTCCGTTGATGGTTCAAGACCAAATCAAAACTTGCCACTTTTATGTGCTCATATCGTTCCTTCGCTGTAGAGCGTTGCTCAACGCGATTGATTACAAAGTTAAGTAGAGCTTCTTAATTTGTAAAATTGTATGGACTTACAAAATTGTTTGTCTAAGTTACCAAAATACCTGCAGCGTTAAATTAATTTTTTCGCTTTCGCGTTTGAATTCATTAGTCGTATCTCAAATTTGTTTTCGCCAGGCATAGCTTCGATTGATAGTTTTTTAAGTTGCGAAGAGAAATGAATGTGAATTTTGGTTCAGGCAAGCACATTTTGTGTCCTCGTGCGCGGCGCTTCAGATCATCACTAGCATGAGCTGTGTCACTGTCAGTGAACATAGAATTCTCTGATTAGTTTCTAATTATATTTTTGTACTGTTCTATCAAGAAGGCAAATCAGCTGCGTGTCCGATGTTTTGAACAGGGATGCACTGAAATAAAGATATATAAATATTGAATTAACCTTAACATTTCCTTCCCGGGCTTCTTGTGAGGATAATCAGCTTGATTCACAAGACAAGGCGGTAACCTGACGGGGAACACCTTCTTCAAACGTACGCACGGGAAGCAATAATTCACACAGTACAGCAAACTTTTTAATGTAACAAGTTTAAATAGGATAATGTAGCACTGTACGCGTCTCGTGCTGCAATACATGAACATCAGAAGTAGTTCATTACGAGTGGAGGTATATATTTCCGTTAATATTCCGCCTGACATTCCGAATGCCGACTCCGAATCCTGACCTACAACTTCGCAGCTCATCTCGTTTAGCTTAATAATCATGAATTATAAATTGTTGTCGCTTGTACCAAAAATTTCGAATTACTTGATGCGTGTCAGCAAGGAAAAGATCGCATCTTGCCGAATTCGTAAATACATATAAGTGTTTATAACACGCATCAATTATTAATAATAATAATCCATAATGTGGAACACGCTGAATGTATAATCCCGCAAGTTGTCAAGATTATTCAGTAAGGAAGGAGGAATATCTCTTGAATAATTAATAAATAGGCAGGGAAAACTTAGATCGAAGGATAACCCGCTGCAGTATCCAGGAAAGTAATTAAGAGGACTTCAGCAACTCATGAGGCTCGTCAAAATCTCGACCGCCGTATCAAGGCAGGCTCGGTTTCTTCTTATACATGAAGACTAGGTATTTAGTAACTCTTGTTCAAATAACTTCTTCGTGAAGCATTCTTAGAGCTAACTCAATTTATAATAATATCATTAAAATACACGCTGAAATTACATGTTCAGTATGCTTCATCAATAAACCATAGCGCAAATGACACTAAGAAAGCAACAGAAGCGGGAATCGTCACAGATAGAAGGTGCTTGCACACCCACAAGCGAAGCAAACGCAAAACATAATTTCCTTATCAAGGACGTGGCAGTTAATGAGGTTTCGTATAGAACTCAATACTGAAATGATTCATGACAATGATGTGAAACTTAATTCTATATACTAGCACAACCTGGTACAACCAAACGAAGCGAGATCTGCAACACAAACTTAACGAAACAAAAGGCAGATAAACTTTTTATCATACATCTAATGTTAAAACACTCTCACTTGAGGAGATGACACGGAATTGATGAAACAAACATAACGGTATATAATAGAAAAAGAAGAGTAATGCAGACACGGCTGACGACTGGCGCTGACTAGAACAAGTCAAGCGAAGTTAACGAAATACCTTGGCTTGGCATCTTATACTGGCTTAATAAGATAAAAACTGCTAAGACTAGAATCACACGGCGAACATAATGTAAAAATAAAGTTATAAGCATAAATAGATAATATTTGTAACGTTGAAGAAAATATGGTCCACAGTTGTACACTTGGAATGTCCGCAACTTACTGGTAAAAGCCTAGCAATTGAACGAGTTACAGGCGGCTACAAAAGACGAATACATGACAGCAAACTCAGTGGCTCAATGATCAGAGTTGATTATTATTTATTCAGCAGAAACTCAATGACGGGAAATTAAAATCCCATGGTTATTTCATGGATGAGATAGAAATATGGGAGGATCCCAAGAAGAGGCAACAATAAAAACAGTACGCTTAAAATTCTTAGTCCGAATAATAACTTATCAACAAGAAACAAACCGCAAAGAGTTAGTTTATATTTACTGAAAGGCATAGCCAAGACTGATCTGCTAAAATATCGGTGATATGGCGGCTATTTTCCAACACAGGCGCTCAATAATCTAATATTAATAATTAATAAACCAGTTGCTGATACGTAATAAGCTACGGTTATGTGTTTCGTCTCGTTAAGAACCGAGACGAAACACAGGACTGCCTTCACAAAACTGGCTAAATCTATGCATGAAAATAAAAAATATAGTAACAATTTAATTAACGCGCCGAGTTTTGTACATCGGAATTTATTCGTCAGGAGGGAAAGCACTTAATATAAACAAGTAGGCTCACCACAAATGAAAAAAGTCGGCACCGCTTTTTCAACATAACAATGTCGGCGGATTAAGTTAACTTTTCTTGAAAATATAAAATAAAAACATTAAACCCATGCCGCAATTTCACCCTCCAACTCTTAATGACGAAAGCCTGGCAATCATGACATGAAGGCCTTCATGTCGTGCGGCCGTCCTAAAGCATCACTTATAAGAATGTACAAAATAAATCGTAAAATATTCCAAGAAAAATCGTTTCACAGAAAATTTCATGGCAGGCAACAAGAGATTAGGCACACCGCTTTTCTTTCAGGCCAAATAAGTTTGCCACCTTCCCGAACGTTCTCACGACCAATAATGAATATGAACATTCATGACAGTTCTCGAAGTCAAAACTGTAATATACTAACAAGACCCGCCATCCTCCTTCTTGGCCAAGAAAATATTTGAGGGATCCGAGAGCGGGTCGATGTCCTGAAACACGCGGTACCAGTCAAGTTTCTCGCTCTTAGCGGCCCCGGCAGCTGCGTTAGCTGGGGGCGCTTGACATGAACCGGGCGTACTGCTTGGCATGGCTGCGGCACCAGGGCCTGACGATGGTGGGAACGAGGCAATCGAAGACTGGAATGGTAATCCACTGGATGACTGGTTGGTGTTTGCCATGCATGAAAGGTCGATGCTAGGAGCATCATAATGCAGCATTCCAAAGTCCAGAAGATGCGACGGCATGAACATGCGATTGGAAGAGTGTGTTGGTGCAGCAGGGTCAGCAGTACTTGGCGGACAGTGAAGTCCAGTGAAATCTGAGCCCGGCATCGGAGACAGAGGCTTGTGTTCAGGGCTATCAAATAAATCTTTCAGCATTTGTTGTGTGTCCTTTTCCGTATCTTCAGGATCACCACTCAGTAGGTCTCGCTTTGAGGCCCCGGTATTGGCTTCTTGAGGGGTTTGGTCATGGGCTTCCTCATATAAATTTAGCAAGCTGTCAGAATTGGCCAAAGATTTATGAACTGGTTTCTCCGGTGCAATGTCTCCCTCATCATCGTGGTACTCGGCGCCAAAGAACGTGCGGTCGTCTCTGTTAGATTGTTCACGGCGATCTGCAGGCTCCTCATCGATGACGCGTCGCTCCTCAGGTTCAGCGAGTTCCTTGATCACCTGGAAGTTGTAATGCTGGTAGCCCTGGAAATTTGAAGCGACTGTGTTGAGGGTCTTAGCAGTTTTCTCAGAGAAGAGGATGATGGCATTCTGATAAAGGATTAGGGCGTGGGAGAACATATTGCACCGCGATGCAGCGAGGAGGTCAATTTTCTGAATACACTTGATTTTAAGTACATCAAACTTGGCCTTCTTTTGACGCACGGTTTCTTGGACTTGTCGGAACTTCTCAAGCTGACTGTAGTGATCTGGGTTGAAGTCACGTGAAATGTTTTTCATCCACATGAGCGCGCCGCGATATTCTGTGCGCATCTTCTCCATCTGTGCCAATGTGCGGCCTGCACCAACCAAACATGCGTTAACTCAATTAATACAGGCAAAAGGAAATGTTATATTTTACTGCAACAAAGACATGAGGTCACATGGGAGTCAATACTTCAAACACTCAATGATTTAAGATTCATTGATTGAGATACATTCAATGTGAATGAACACGGCGTCACCTAAAAATGGTACATCAGGCTTAAAATTAGGTAGAATAATAGAAAAATTACGACACACAATCTCCCATATATACATTGCCACAACGAAATTGTTGTTCCTTTGAGATGAATGACATTTCTAATGGAGCGACAGAAACACACACCTGAACCTACAGGCAATCTAAGTATTAGAGTAGAATTTCATCACAGAAAGGTTTTTCTAAACCAATAAACCAGATAATATTGAACAAATTTGTATGCATTTAAATACTGACCAATTTTGTTGCGATGGTGTTATTATAGGCAATTGCACGGAATCGTTAATGCTACTTGTATTCCTGGCTAAACCTATATTGGTCCGAAGAGGTATGGTACAAGACAATAACATGTCTTTCAATTCTAATAACCTGTCTTTTGCAATCCTTGTGTGTGGGTGTGTTGCTAAGCTCCCTGCCAGTTGTTAAAATGTGTTCTTAGCGTTCAGTTGCTTGAGTCAAACATGTAGCCAGATTATTTGCGGCAGTCTTGTTTTTTCAATCCGTCCTATATCTTTAATACAATGGTTTCTTGGTTAGTGTGCAGACCATTCCAGAAAGATGGGATTATCATGTTCCCATTTTTTTCAGTTTTCATAATCTTATACACCATTTTAGTCCTTATTTACGAAACTGACTCAATAAAAATTATGAAAGTCATTGTTTTATATTATTTTAATTCTATCTTGCATTTTTCAAGAACTCCATAATATAATTTTTAATAACTGAAATTAATTTTATTGCTTTGATGTTCTTTGTCATTTATTACCCTAAAGAAAATATGGAAAAGACTCTTAGCTACTTTATAACATAAATTCCATCATTGCATTATATATAACCAGCAGGCCATACAACAAAGTCAATTATTTGGACAATAAATAACTAATTTCTTCTAATAGTAAAAAATTTAATGACTTGATTTCACTGCTCATAAATGGAACGTTTCACCTCCAAAAATCTGCAATACATATTTTTCCTGTCACCAAGGATCCCTCACCTGTGTCCTCAATAGCACGTGACTGAAAGGTGTCAACCTCCTGAAAGAGGCGCACAAGAGGAGCACGGAGAGCCAGGCGCTGCTGGGCAGTGTAGCTGAGGCTCTTGCCAGTGGCGGTCATGACTTGGCTGGCGGTGCCACGGTCCTGCCGGCCCCAGTCTTTCAAGAGACGTCCCATGGCATTCTCTTCCTGAGCGAGCACGCACACCTTGCTTTGGTATTCAGCAAGTGCCAACTGAAAAAATTACAAATGTTAAGGCATTACACAATCTATTATGGCCCAAATATTTCACCACAATAAAATATGTGCTTATATGATTTAAAGAGTTCATACTTTCATGTGAACTTCTTTCACAGGCTGCAATACATTATTCAAGAGGCTGTCCAAGCTAAATATGAGAGAAGAGAAATATGATTTGCTATGTTGAAATTGAGAAGTGTTGAGTATGGAAAAAACTTCTAAAATCATAGTCAAAAAAGAAGCATGATTATTTTAATTTCAGCAATGGAAGAAAATTTGGCCATTGTATCAATAAAAATTTTAATACAGACATATTGGCAAAAAGAGCTTATTATTCACAATTAAAAACTAATGAATGATTCACAGATTTGATAATTTTTTATAACCTAGACAATGGAGAGTTAATAATGCAACTAATAACAAGACAGACCTGCAGTTCTTTAGTGCTTGATTCAATAGCTTTGAAGAGCTCCATTTTGGCATCAAGCTCTGCATCAGAAGCCACAATGTGCTCATCTTGGTTCTTGCCAAGCTTCCTCATGACTGCACTCTTTGTGAACCAGAACTGGCGCTGAACTTTGCCAAGTGTAGTGTTGTTGCCGTAGCTGCTGTTGCGCTCCACCCAACGGTCATACCCACTTCCTGACCAGCCATTGGAGCTCCCTCTTCCCCCCGTGCTGTACTGACCATAGGCATTGCCTGGACGGCTACTGTAGCTACTACTCATCATAATCACTGCTGCAGAAGCAAAAATATAACAATTAGTATATTCAACAGTTTACACATAATTAATTTGAAACTTCTGAACAACAGTGATAAGATATCTTATGTCATTTTCATATGGTCTTACTATGTTTGTGTTATTGTCTTAAATTCATCTTGAAAATATCACGTTGAGTAAAAATAGTGTATTCAAGAATTTATTAGAAGTGTATTCAAGCATCTTAGGAACTATTGAAAATCTCAATAATGAATGAAAAAATAAGTGTGACAAGTTCTTCTTAAAACATTAGGAAAATTTTTTCTGCAAAATAAACAATAACAACAAATCAGACTAGAAGCAATATATATAGTAAAACTATACTTGAAATACTTTATCCAATCTTAAATACTCTCCATTGAAAATACAGCTAACATTAGGTGAAAATAAAAATGGTCACAATATTTATATTAGAAGGCAGAAAGTTCATTTTCCTGGGCTTTTTTGCTTATGCAGAAATTTACATCCTATTGCATCTCATCAATATTAATATACAGCAATGAAGTAGGTTAGTGTAATGAATAGTCAAGTAATAACAAGGCAAAATTAATAAGACAAGCAGATGAGGTTTCATGACCAAATTTTGCAGTTCACAGAACAAGCAAACATGAAAAAATTCAGCCTCATGGCTCTCCAGTAGTGACCTCCAAGGTGATATATTGTTGCAGGGTAGCTGTACTGCTTTTCAGCCCAACCCTTTGGCTTTCATGCTTGTTTATTTGATGTCTGTGTGCTGTATTTTCTCATTATGTAACTTTAATGTAATATTTTTTTTTCTCTCTAGTCCAGACAGGGAAGTAAACTTGTTAATGTAAATTCCAAAGCCAAGCATAATCCTAATGCAAAATCCCAATGAAAAGCTAATAACTGCACCAGTGTGGGAACCTAAGCTAACTCACCATTTGAGAGGGAGTGAGTGATTGTTTATTGCATATATCCATTTTATTACCAAATTTATGTTTTTATTATAAATTCTTTATTCTCTGTGGTTTCACTCTATTTTCTTATTTTCTATTAACTTTGCTCAGTGCATTTAAATTTCGCAAGCTATATATTTTGGTGTTCATTAATTCTTCATTAAGCTGTTTGCTGCAAAACTAGTTTTTTTTTTCTGCAACCATAAGCAACACAATGCTCTAAGAAATCATCATTAAGGTTTTTGATTTTCAGTTTTCCTGCTTTTTAATTTAAGGCTTCTTCATGTTTGATCCAATTCTTTATCTTATGGTCTTAGGGCTGTGATGCATAAATTTAATAAGTTTTACTTTCTTTTATGGCAGATCCCATTTGCATCTTGTCCTTAACTCCTTAAGTATACACCTATTTTCCATGCTACTCTCAGTTAGGCCATTCTTCATTCACTCAGGAACCACACTTGTGTTCACCTTGTAACCAGTAGCCATTTAATTTAACTGTAAATTGAATTCCGTTTCATTTGTCAGTAATAAAAGAAAAATTTTATTCTCATCATTGTCCACTTCCCAAGTAGGTTGTTGCCAACCTACCAAGTAGAAGTAGGCGACATGTTTGCCTCACCTGCGGGAGACATTAGGCAACAGTATGGCTAATACATACTCAAGATATAAGCACAAAAATTACTAGATTGCTTAAGTCGCAAGTTTACCAGGAATTTAAAAGCAAAGAAAACAGCCAGAATATTAACCATTTCTTAAGTGCAAAGTTTTTAGTGAAGTGCAAAGTTTACGGTGTCTTCCCTAAGTTTCTGAGGTTCAGACTCTACAAACGTTGTCTGCATACCTCGTCATTTTACAAGTCACAACTTAATTTCCAAGCCAGTCAATATTACTCTGTCAGGGCTGACATTAGGTGGTCAGAGTTCCCCCATTGGGGGGTGGCGTTGACCATTTGCAACCTAGACACTTCCTTCAAATTTGTCATTTCCATATGTAACTAGAAGAGTTCTACTACAATGCGCCAGAACCAGGAGTTATTTTAACAGAAAATAAAAAAAAATTGGGGGGGTTCTATGACAGGCTTTATATAATAGCTCTTTTTTTGTGGGTCACATTTTTCATTTTTTTAACCTATTAGATATGCAAAGTTTTTTAATCTTTCTATTGTGTTATGTAGCCTCAGTATTAGGCCTTTAATGCCCATTGACAAAATTTCTCTATGTCAAATAGTTTTTGAGTTTTGGGGGTATTTGTTAAAAAAACTAAAGTTGGTCAAACTTTCCCCAGGAGTCAAAGTAACCCCCTTTTACAGTATAACTCATACTTTAGAATTGATCAAGTTACCAGGTTGCATTGATCTTTAATGTATGAACATTCCTAGAATTCCTCTCAGGCTTGCATGCATTTTTAGTTTATTGTTCAAGTTATAGTTGTTACTCTAAGCCTCCCTTTTATTTGTCCTTATTCAAAATGTGCATTAACACTTTATTTTGATTAAACATTGCAAACTTCATGTTCCTCTGCTTTGGGTCCACCCCTTGGGCATAGTACTTCTATGCTCTGGTAGAGATTTGTGAAATTACAACTTTAGTTGCCAGGCCATATTTTAGCATTCATCTGCAATTTTGGTAAAATGAGTGCATTAATAGATTAACAATGACTAAATGAAGTATTCAAACTGGAAAAACATTTAATTATCCCCCAAATAATTCTCGGCTTTAATGGGTTAGGTATGTGGCTTCCCTATCCCTATCACAACTAATTTGCAGATTGTGCTTAACAGTCTCATCTGATAAACTGGAAACCCTGCGCCTGCAGTTAGCACTAGCAGTAGCCAGTAAGTTAGATTGTCAATTCTTTTCATTGTTACATCTGCTCAATTAGCTCGAACACATAGTTCTTTAAAAATCGCAATGCAATGCGTCGCACCGGCACTGTCACAGCAGGGAACCTTTAGGAACTACTGTTTCTTTTGCTAAACTAAATCCAGACAAATTTAATTTAGGGTAAACGCGGTATATTCCGACATCGTGGGTAATTCCATCACCTCTTTAGTTTTACCTTTATATTAAGCTTTGTTTTAGTTCTATGCGTACGTTGATGGTTGAAATGGTGACGTCATACATTTGCGTGTCAAACTACTGCCAAAACACTAGGTCTTGGCCATCTAGCGGAAAATATTGAGATCCAAAGAGAGAC